TATGTCGCTTCTACACGTTGGCCAACACAGTGGCGAATGTAGTGGCCAATAGCATTGGCCAACGTGTAGACGGGGTGTTTGGGCTTCATTGGTATGTATTGGGACGATGGCCCACAAGTTGGCGCGAGATCCGTGTGGTGTCGGTTTTTTACAAAAGATCAAAGGATTGTTGGCAGAGTTTGGTCGCCGCGTCCACACGTTGGTCATGCGTTTAGTTTGCTACAAGCTCCCAGAGTGATTACACGCATTTGATTTAAATTTTATATTCAAGCTTTGTAGGATGGATGCCCCAATTACCAACCTTTTAGTACCAATTTCAACTTTAAACATTCCTACTACTTTAATTAGTGCGATTTAATTATTTTTAAACATCTGTTTTAATCGATTAACTATTTATCAAAAAAAAATAACGAACATTTATTTACAATCAGATTATTACGAGAATTTATTATTACGTGGTAGAACCATGCAGTTATATTAGAAGTATATATAGTTGTAGCACGAATGAGTTGGCTCAACCGGGGAAGGACCACGCTCTCACAGAATATCAGCGTAAAATAGTAGCTTAATGATGCTGTGTTTCGTATAGTGAGTGTAGAGAACCAGAGACCCTATTTAAAGGAAACGAGGCATTTCATCTTTGTCCTCACGGGTGAGAACGCATATGCATTTTGATTCGTAATCGAGGATAGATGTAGATATCTGTGGGCCACAGTAACCACTTACCATCAGGTGAACTGTGTGCCCGTTTGTCACCCTATCCTATAAAAAAACGTCGACTTCTTATAATCGTACAAGTTTTCGAACATCATCATCATTACAGCTGTTCACAAGTCCACTTCTGAACATCCTCCTCCACAGACTGCCGCAAAGCATGGTCCTGAGCCACTTTGCTCGTCATGAGTTTTTCATTTATGTTCTAAGTTATAATTAGTACCTATTATCACGTTAGGTTTTAATTATATTTATTGCTATTGTTTATGTCTTTCTCAAAAAATAAATTAATTACCAAATAAATTATAAGGTGTTTTTATATAAATCAAATGTCTGATAGAAATGCAAGTATATATTTTGCTAAACTTTAAAATCAAAACCCAATTTTAAAACATAGACTAATCGATTATAACTCCTTTAACTTTAAAATAAGTTAAGTTCTTATTAATTGTATTTATTCCAGTTTATGATGCATGTAAAGAATAAATAAACCTAATCGTATATCGTATTTCTATTTACAGCCCCATTAATATCCATTATTCTTTTATAATTATTTTATAAAATCGTAACCCCCACAATTGGATGTTCTCCTGTATCGCGGAGGCAGCTTACAAACATAAATTGCACAAGGACACACGTCCAGACCCGAAACAATTATTTGTAGGATATACAAATACTTGTTCCGCGCGGGATTCAAACCCGCGGCCCCCGGCACAGCTACTCATTGCTAAGCCACTGCGCCACGGAGCCGTCGTTTGTCCGAACATTGGCCCGAACCGAAGTAAACTGAACGACCATCCAACGTGTGGACGCCGTCACCAACTCTCGGCCAATATATTCGCCACTACATTCGCCACTGTATTGGCCAACGTGTAGAGGCGACATTATATCACACTTTGAGTGGGAGGTGACAGAGGGAAATTAAGCAGGAGGTGGGCAAAAGCATGACCCATATTTACCAGTGTAGTATCAACATAGATGACGAAATTAAAATATATTTGAATGCCATAATGTACTGGTTTTAAGTCACTTTCAAAAATGTTGCTTTTATTCTATTCTAGACTCTTGTAATCATCATCATAGACATAATCATCATTACAGCCCTTCACTAGTACACTGCCTATTGATGCTATACTTCTCATATTTCTTAGCGGTTCGTCATTAAATTTGGTGGCGACCCGACCTTCCACACTTCGCTAACCGATATAAAGCTTTGAATTGAGAATATTTCTTCACCATCAGTTTTCTGACCTATATGAGAGGCCTACCGCTACTTTAGCCTAATTGTAAATACATAAATATATAAAATAAATCAAAAATATTCATTTTAACATCCCAAAAATTTCAATTTTATTTATTTTCATGTTTATTACGATGGAATGCTTAAGTTCAACCAACCTCAAACGAAAGAAAACTGGATTGCACAGATAAAAGCAAGCGAGTAGATCTAGCTCAGCGCTGTGCTGTCAAAATTGATTGGAACTGAATCGAGCCAGATAATCGTTTCATTCCATAAGTTGTGTGATACAGTTTTGTATTGGAAGCTCTCCCTGAAATAATTTTGTAAAATTGTGTATTTTCGGTTTTTCTTAAAGATAATAACCAAAACACATTCGACGAACTTGTAGTTTATCTTATGTAGATCCATAAAGAACTTGAGTACAGCGTTGTAATTCTTGGATTCAAATTAAAATTGAAACATACTTGTTATTTAAAACAAATTACCCTCAAACAACGCATTACTTTTGAGTCTATAAAGATTAAAGTCTACCTGGTCTTCACATGATACAGCCGCGCTGCAACTATATTATTAAACTAAGAAGGACGACCACGCTCTCACAGAATACCAGCGTGAAATAACATTCGAATGTTGCTGCGTTTCGTATGGTAGGTGTAGAGAACCGGAGAGCCTATTTTCTGAAAGCGAGGCAATCCATCTCAATCCTCAGGGATTACTACGAATTCTGCAGTTTGATAGGATGATTTGATCAATGGGCCACAGCATCCACTTACGATTAGGTGATAACTGTGTGCACGTTTGTAACCCTTATTCTATATAAAATAATATTGAACCTCATAGCGCATGTGCTACGCGGTAGAAGCCGAGAGATTATTCTGGTATAATTTTAATACTTATTAATAGTTATATATATATATATATATATATATATATAATATTATAAACAAAATACGATAAAGATTTAATATATATATATTGACATACAAACATACTACGTCTATATTTTTATTCGTTTTTCACCCGCGCGTCCCGCAGTGGGCGGAGCGCAACCGGCTGTCGGAGAGCGCCGCGTGAACACAGTAATTCACAGTATGCTCAAAGCAAGCAGACAATTCACCTCTAAGCAAAAACTTTTCCGTGGTTTCTCCTGTTTGCAAAAAATACTGGGCATTTTAATTATCAATTTTTTTAAAGTCAGTTTTATGATATAAGCAGGCAAGCAACATTTCAAACGCTAACTCACAAATTCTAGAAAAACCAAAGTTTCGTTGACAAAATAGCTAAAATTACAGAAAAAGGACAGTTTAAAATAAAACTAATAGAAATTCAAATTTATTTAACGATTTTGTATTACACATCAATTCAACATTCAATAAACATAACCTCACACATAATATTACTTAAATAACCGGCCGAAGTAATAGAAAAAACTGGTCAAGTGTGAGTCGGACTCGAACGTGAAGTTCCGCAGCATCATATAAAATTTAGTACTATGTATGAGGGAACTTTTTAAAATTTTATTTTTGAATAGAGAGAGTGTTAGAGTATTATTAAATGTTGTATGATGGTGCGGAACCCTTCATGGGCCAATCCGACTCCCACTTGGCCGATTTTAATACTATATAGGCTAAATTATTATTATTTTTTATTATTACTTCTTCTTGTGTAAAGTATGTTTGGATTCAATAAATATTATTATTATTATTATGTGGGGTATCTATATAGTTTTCTCATCTGGTTGGGATGTATAAATATATAATTATAAATGAAAATGAAAAGATAAATATACATAAATATCAATAAAATAAAATAAATACAAAAATACATAAATAAATAAAAGCCCAACCAGATGGAAGCCGTCGGCAGGGGGAGACCAAACGGCCAAGGGTTAGGGAGAAAGGGAAAGAAACCGGCGGACGATGCGGGCAGTATCAACGAGCACCACCTTCTGCATTATTATTATTATATAAACAATAGCAAGAGTAGATTTAAAATCTCCTGTCTAGCTAATTAGGCGCTAGAGTGCCACTTGTAGATATGAAAATTAATATATTCACAGACAAGTCAAATTTATACCACATTACTTTCTTTTTGGACGAAATCTAAAAATAAAAAATAAAATCATTTAAAATTCAGTGTAATTTAAAACTTTTGGTTTAATTTGCCGTAACTGTGTCGGCGTAGGAGCTGAATCACAGGGTGGTAGTACCATTAGTACATTTGGATGTATATCGTGACTATTTCGTATCGCCATCCCGCGTGAATGCCTCGGGTCTACTATTTCCGGGAGAATGCTGCGCATATAAAAGTCAACTATTTTTTTCTGTTTTTTTCTATGTATGATACTTTTAAATCTTTTTCTTGGCCAGCCCATATTGCAAATATATATTTTTGTCTATTAATGACGTACAACTGGCCTTGTACTTGATAAAACTAGTTGCTGTTTCGGTTTATTATATATGTTTCATTTGTTTTTGTTAAATTTATACATTTGAATTTTATTTGCTTTAATAGCCTCTTCTATCCCCATTTTGAAGGCTGTTATTGGGCATTTGACTTCTACTATTGTATCGTCACCTACTAACCCGTCCGACGTTGCACCAATAAATGAATATTTATCATCGCCAAATGGATCACATGGTCCGATTGTGACTTTACCTGCTTTTCTAATTGTTGCAGTACCAATTTTTCATTTTCTACACCGTGAGCTACGGCTGCTACATGGGCAATGTTTTCTCTATACAACAAATTTTTTACAAGGTTTGCTGTAGATGTGTTCGGACGCTTTTTAATAATTTTTCCAAAATTGGACGCTGTTACCATTTGTTTCCTCAATTCCAAACAGTCACTGCAATCTCTCTGAAATTTGGTATCTCGTTCGATTTGCGGTTTGTTCATAGTCAAGATATTCAAATTCTCAAGAAAATATTTTTTAGCCATCTCTAACTCATCGGGTACCATATCTGGGACAGCGCTATTTGATCCATAGTAATTTTTTGTTTCTTTCTTTGTTCTGACAATTTTTCTATTTTTCTTAAATGGGTTTTTACAATTCCATAGTCTTTTTCTGTTTCTTTTCATTTCCATCTTCTTTAAAATACTTTTTGGACTTTTTGCCTAACAACTTCTTCTGAATAGTGTGTCTCGGCAACTTGTTATTAAATGATACAACAGCTGCAGCACATCGTTCTTGATAACCACGTCTTAGACAAAAAATGATGCGTTTCCCTCCAACCATTTTAGCAATCACGCTATTAAAACGTTCAGCCGCGTTGGTGTCAACGTCTTCTACTAGGCTTTGTGATTTAGATGCCACAGTTCCTATGATAACTTTTAATCGGAACCAAAATGTTGAGTTTTCTACGGCAATTGCATTCTCCAATGTCTTGTCTTTTGTACAGAAATAATCTTTACACTGTCTGTGGTCTCCGAATGCATGGTATAGTGAAGTTTGTATATCGGCATGTAATATTTCTGAACTATCACATGGAGTGTTGGCCGCTCCCCGGGCAGAACACCTTGCCCGGCGGGAGATCTCCCCTTTTCCTACCACGGCCACAGTGGTGACTAACCGACGTGATCTGAACACGCAACCAACAACCTTCGGAAACTTCAAGCTTCCTCAACGTCATAGAATACCCCACCCATTCGCTCCCGAGCAGATATCGTCTGCAGTCTTCATATCCTGCATGCCATCTAGCTTCACAAGGTTCATCGCAGCACTGGAATAATAATGCTTCCTGTTCCTTCAAGCTACTCTCTGCGCTATACAGTGTTCGGCACGGCTCTGAGCCTTACTGCTCGCCTCTGCTTCACGACACTCTCGCAGATTACTTGCCTTCTTCTCGACTCACCGCAGACTACAAGGCAATCCCCTGGCACTTGCACATTCGTCGGCAACAAGGCTGCACTATCGACCTCCGGTCTGAGCAGGGGGGTGATGTAGCGGCGCTGTCGTCGCGCCACAATCGAAATACACCGAAGTCTAAATCACGCTATCAACATTCCGAATCAGAAACAGTATATATAGAACATCTCCGAACTATCACATGGAGTGTTGGCCGCTCCCCGGGCAGAACACCTTGCCCGGCGGGAGATCTCCCCTTTTCCTTTCACGGCCACATTTCTTTTGCTTGCACTTTTGTTTTATGTTTTTTTCTAGTAATTTGCGTTGTTCTTTTATTGAGCAAACGACCACTTTTCTTAAGATCATCACTTTACTGTCGGTCAACAGTTTTCTAAATTTCAAGGGATATTTCATGTCTTTAGATACCACTCGTAATTTTTTTGCATAAATTACGAAGTATGTGATTTCTGCATTCAATTTTTGTCACAGTCATGTTGGGGTACGGGTTAAGCGCAAAAATTTTAGCGTAAGTTAAGGAGTCACCATCAGCTATCAATCTCCCATAAATGACGTTATACATATTTATCGGGTTCCGAAATCCATCACATATTATTTCGGCTTCCATTTCTGACGAAGAATCTGTAACAAACATGTTCTTTAGTAGTAATTTGTTTCTTTTCAGCACGTGCACAAATGACACAGTACTTATTTTTCACGGCCATAAATAACACTTCCCCAAATTTACGACCAATAATTACTGCAGCTCCGGATAAAACCTTATAATTATTTCCGTAGGATCTTGCGCTCCAACATCCATCTGCATATACGTCTATTTGGTATTCCATTTTTTGTTCTCCCTTCAGCAATGGCAGCCTCATTTTCACGTTCGGCAGCAGCTTCCATCTCTTCTGCAGCTGTCCTTTCCCACTCATCGAATACTTTATCTTGTATTTTTGAAAAATATCTTTCGGAAAATGTAGGTATGTTCATCGACGAGCATATTTCTTCAAGTTGAGAATAAGCTATTCCCGTATATATTATTCCTACAACGGCTCCTGTATTCATATCGTCATTTTCAGTAGTTGCTGGGTCATCTGAATCGATATGAAAGACCATACCACACATTTCGCACATTAACTTGAATTTTGATGCAACTCCAATTCTTTTCTCTCCTAGTAATATCAAGCACTGAATACCACAGTTAAATAGGCTTTTGTGGCTTAAAATTTCTTTTAACTTGTTCAAAAAGAACACAATATCTATCATTCTCCTTCCGTTTATAGATGTGACTTTTTCATTTTTTTCTGGTTCAATCAAATAAGGAGTCATGTAATCATCCAAATTTCTGTAAAAAAAAAAACACATTTATAATACAAATATTTTCAATGGGAAAAGGATAACAAATTGCTATAAATTGACTAAAAATATACTCACTCGCTACAAATAAAACGTTCGGATACATCTCGAATATATGCGTCACCAATTGCAAGTGTCGACTGGCTGATTGTCCTAAAATAGACAAACAAGATTTGATTATTTTAGAAATAATGTATATACTAAATAGATTTTTTTGGCCCAACCCGGGATTCGAACCCAGGACCTCATTATCAGTAGTCGCACTAATATAAACACTAGACAAACAAGGCAGCCTTTTTAATCCATATATACTGCTTTTAAGACAAAAGAAAAAATACCTAAAATATGTTAATTTTCAGATTTCTTTGCTAGTTCTCTAATACCTGGCTTCTCACCAAATTTCATGATTCTAGGTCAACGGGAGGTACCCCGTAGACAGACAAACAAACGGACAGACAGACAGACGGACTACATAGTGATACTATAAATTTTTGTATATTTAATCCATATTTTGAGTTCCTTTTTTCTTTTGAGGTACGGAACCCCAAAAAAATATATATATGTAAAAACAATTGTAATGTGTGACACTTAGTAATGACGAATCGAATAATATCTCAAACTTATTACTTACTGAGTGTTATCAGAAACAATTAGAGCCACTGATGTCAATTCTGTGCATTCTTGCTGGTTTTTTCTAAAACAATTCATACATAATTATAATTCCTATTTATTATAAGCAAAATCAAAAGAAAAGATGGTTCGGTTCTGTTATTCTGTCTTTTAACAAAAACATTAGGTATTTTTATTTTTTTTTTTATTTTTACATTGCGATACTTACGCATTGGAAATAACTTCCATGTTGGTATTTTCAAATTTCTTTATCCTGTAAAAAATAATTACATATAAATTCATTAATAAATTCATATAAATATATAATAATATATTTATAAAAGACCAAAAAAGAAAATTTGACTTCAACGAAAGAAGAATATGGAATAATAAATATTTATAGAAAGGAAAATATTTAATTTATAAATTTATTATAAAATTATTTAATAAATTTATCTAAATTTATAATACTAACTGCCTATATAAAAGACAAAAAAGAAAATTTGACTTCATATTCCTGAAATCTAATCCAGGCACTATCGGATGCAAAAAGAAAATCCATAGGTACCTCTACCAAATACACTACTGTAATAAACTACGTTTCTGAAATTCATATGTTTATTGCTATAAAATGAATATTTAGTAATAATAATATGTTCTTACCTTTTAATATAGTTCATATTTTGGGCGTTTGATTTATATGAACGTTTTTTACTTTTCGTAACGGGTTTCACTTTATTTCCCATTATGTACAAATGAATATATATATATATATATATATATTTGAACTAAAAAATAGTTTATATTCACACGAAAGAAGAATATTAATTTATCGAAAGAAAAATATTTATAAAACGATGAATTTAAAAATAAAATTATACAAATACGAATACTTCGGCAAAAAAGAGCGAGACGTCTGAAGAGCAACAGGCCGCGGCCAACAGTGCCTGGCACAGGCATTCATGCACACATCCATACGTATTATTTCATAAATAAGAATATGCCATTTAAAAAAAAAGACTAAAAAATTAAAACAATATAACGTTACATGTTGAATGTATAATAATCTGACAAAAATCGGAATGATTGCATGTATTAGAGGTTCAGGTCACTCCATCAGGTCCGGAGGTAAGGACTCATCATACCTAACAAAACGAGCCCAAACTCGGCACATCTAGTAGTACTCGGCGACCAGTTCCAATAGCGATTATACCAAAGTACACCTTCCGGTCACTCCGTCAAGTCCGGAGGTAAGAATTCATCATACCTAACAAAACGAGCCCAAACTTGGCACTCCTAGTAGTACTCGCCGACCAGTTTCAATAGCGATTACTAAAGTACACCTTCAGGTCACTCCGTCAAGTCCGGAGGTAAGGACTCATCATACCTAACAAAACGAGCTCAAACTCGGCACACCTAATTTTACTAGTCCAGGTGTTCCAGTATTAGTAACTGAAGTTCACCTTCAGGTCACTCCATCAAGTCCGGAGGTAGGGTCTTATCATAACTGACAAAACCCTCCCAGTGCCAAGCAGTCCCTAGAGTAAGGTATTCGCATTTCGTATCTGAGTCTAATTATTACTTACTCTATGTATCTTAGTATATTTTTTGAGGTATAAGAAATCAAAAACAAATTCGATCTTTCAAATTATCAAAATAATTTTATTTGACTACGATTCCCGCAGCCAACCGTGCGTACACTTGTGTGCGTAACCCGAGTCAATGTAATAGTTCGATTCTATACCTATATCAATTTTGTAAACGCGTCCTTAAAAAATCTTAACGTAAATACTGCGGCAAAAAGAGCGACACATTTCTACAACACAAGGCCTCGGCCGGCAGTGACTGGTGACTGCTGACTGCACAGGCGTTTACGCAAACATCCGTACGTATTATTTCAAAAATAAGAATATGCGAATTAAAAAACAAAACTATTAGTTGGACTAAAAAATTAAAACACTATAACGTTAATATGTTGAATGTATAAAAATCTGACAAAAAATCAGAATGATTGCATGTATACTAGTATGGTTTTTACTTGTTAAAAGAAATTTTTAGAGGTATGTTTGTGATTTTTTTCTATCGTATTATATTTGTGGTATTATGTTTTCAACACACTATCTAACTAGCATATATCCTGGACAATATCATATATTTTTTCTAGGTTTGTTTACTGCAGTAGATCATATACTTTGAGGCATTATAAAACTTGCGTTTAGGGTCATACCTCGTTTTAAAGATTACCCTCGCCATTACATTTGATGTTACGTTTGATACTCTTGCGCTGTTGTAAATAGCAGAGCTGGTGTAAATGGTGGAAGCGTTCATAGTCAATTAGAATTAGGAATAGAATAGAATCAGGCGTTATTTTGCAGAAACCGAAATGTTAAAAAAATTCTTACTAAGATCCGCGTAATAAAATAAAAATGTACCACCTGCCCTACCTCAATTGCATGCACTTTCCCTGCACCACTAATTCGGGGGGTGGGCTTAGTGGCCTTGCCTTGGTTACCCGCGGTGTATATAGAGGAACCCCTACAACTGGCCCGAGGTGTAGGGCTGGCCCGAGGAGGCCACTCCGAGTGTTTTTGTAAGTTTGAGTGAGGTCTTGTAAGTTTTTCCTGGCCCCATGGCCTTCACGCATCGGAGACGTAGGCGTCTGTTGCGCATGTAAATTTGGAGGCCTTGGAGGAGGGCGTGCCATGGTTCTTGTGCGCTTTACCTGAGAAGGAGATGGGGGAGGAGTAGACGGGCCACCATTAGACGGCCAGCGCTAGTGGAGGTCGCGGATGTGTGCGAAAGCGTTCCCATGGCCCTGGAATGAAAGTGGAACAACATGGGGTTTTAGTCGGTGTGAGTCTGACATAGCCCGCCCTTGCCCCCACGAGGCGGGTATGCGTAGGCATTTCCCTATATAAAGGAAAAAAAGGCTCTCAATGTCGCCTTTAACGAAACCCACGGAATGAAATGAGGTGAGGATTTCTGTTATACACACACCATACATAACAAAATAATATTATACTTTACAGCTACTTCCACAGTCTTGCTCGTCGTCCCCATTGATAAATATTAATTGGTTTTCTACTAGTAATTGGGGCTCAGCTTTGAGTATTGAACCAACTTAATACTCAAAGGGGCTCAGATATATTTTATATCTAATAGAAAGACCGAAATTATAAGGTGTATATATTTCGCAGTAAGATGGTTGAAGTCGTGTATATTGTGTGAAGTTGTGTATAGTTATATCCCTAGGGATATAGCTATATACCGGAATATAACTATGATACAAGGACGATCTTCTAATATAACTATTTCACTAGACTAATTTAGATTAGATTAGGTAGGTAGGACTAGTTTATAGTTATAAGCATATGTTGACTAAGAATGTTAGTTAAAACTACTTTTGACTTATACATTTTGAATTTTTAAAATTAAAAAGTTCAATTATTTCAATATTACATTTTATATCATTATAATGTACGCTGCTATGCTATCGGATGGCCCAAGGGTCACCCCAGCCGCACCTTTAATTTCTCAGTCAAAAAATTAACATGAACAACAATACAACAGGAATTAAAGTTGCCTACAAATTTTTATATTTGGTCCTGATTATTTTTTTAACAGTTGCAAATATCAGTGCCATAGATTTTTGTTTCGTTTACCTATTACACCCTTTTTTTCAGACGGTAAAAAATCACCCAGTATATTAGAAGATGGTAATCCATATCTCAGATGTGCGCGCCATTTGTGCGATATATAAGGGTGGATTCAAATTTGTAACGTAATATGGAACCATTGACTACGTGACTGTGTTAGATAAATGTAACAAGTAGTTATATACACTCACAACAACGCTGATCGTTTGTGACCGTGTAGTAGCCGTGTAAGAATAACCACTGCCCTATACTGTGTTAGATACACGTAACAAGTAGTTATATACACTCACAACAACGCTGATCGTTTGTGACCGTGTAGTAGCCGTGTAAGAATATCCAGTGCCCTATACTATGTTAGATAAATGTAACAAGTAGTTATATACACTCACAACAACGCTGATCGTTTGTGACCGTGTAGTAGCCGTGTAAGAATAACCACTGCCCTATACTGTGTTAGATACATGTAACAAGTAGTTATATACACTCACAACAACGCTGATCGTTTGTGACCGTGTAGTAGCCGTGTAAGAATAACCACTGCCCTATACTGTGTTAGATACATGTAACAAGTAGTTATATACACTCACAACAACGCTGATCGTTTGTGACCGTGTAGTAGCCGTGTAAGAATATCCAGTGCCCTATACTGTGTTAGATACATGTAACAAGTAGTTATATACACTCACAACAACCCTGATCGTTGGTGACCGTGTAGTAGTCGTGTAAGAATATCCAGTGCCCTATACTATGTTAGATACATGTAACAAGTAGGTAGTTATATACACTCACAACAACGCTGATCGTTTGTGAACGTGTAGTAGCCGTGTAAGAATATCCACTGCCCTATACTGTGTTAGATACATGTAACAAGTAGTTATATACACTCACAACAACGCTGATAGATTGTAACCGTGTAGAAGCAGTGTAAGAATTGTTCAATTAGGGAACACGAATAAAATAGGCGACTCACACGATAGGCCAATTGTTTATTTAAATAATTAAAATGTAAACTAAATTGGTGCTGATCGGGTTGCGAGCTATCGGCGAGTGCCGGTCTTAGGCGCGGTGGTGAGAAAAACCCTCCGCGCTTCTCGTACTCCCCGCGAACACCGGCGGTGCTGTCGTAACGGCGCCGACAAGAATATCCACTACCCTATATTGTTTCGGAAGTGTCGTAAGCAGTGACAGAGAGAAACAATATATCACCTAGTTGGACAGCAGCGATACCTAGTCACTACTAAAAATAAATAAAAATCTGCGGCTACCAACCTGCCCATTAAGTCTGGCAACTATCGCAAATATTCCTCCTATGAGGCAATCTATGGGGCAGTCTATGTTCAACTTTGGACTTTTGATAGGCTTTACACGCGAATGTCATATTAGTCGATCCATCGTAATTGTTCGTTCAAAAGATTTTTGTACTAGTCCAAACTAGTGCATTTTACTTATTCTACTATATATATATGTGTGTGTGTGTATATATAGTCTGAAACTGATATTATGTGGCAGAAATGGCCAAGAGGATGGTGCATACGAAGACGGAGTCCTAGGCAGGAAAAAGCAGACACTCACGCCTGTCACCCAGAGGGATAGGCAGAGACTACGGACTTCCATTTGACACGATCCTGTACGTACAACTCGGTTACATTATCTCTGCACCTCGCTCAATGACGTCACATTCACGGCACGGTGTGCTTAAAAAGCTTCTCTAGAAATATAATATTTTACCCGACTGACGGATGTATATGTATGAAGTTTATATTGAAGTATTTTGTGATAGAATATATATTTATTAATTAAAAAAATGAATTATAATAAATAAGATCCTATGTATGGTTTTGATTTTGGTGATGGAGACGTAATAAAACAGTATTAAATAAAAAGATATCATCTTTATTTAAATCATTTTCTTACATTATTACTATTTTATATATTATATATTACTAAATTATATATTATTTAGCGACATAAGTAACAGTAATGATGATGATAATAAAAATGCAATAATTAATTATCAATTATATAGTGATAATAACTAGTAATACACTAGTCATTTCCACTATAAACAACAAGATGCTAACCTTACTGACGCGATCGAGGCGAGCGCAGCGTGGTGAAGTGGGCGCGAGCGGGCCATCACATTCCAGCGAGGTGCAGAGATATTGTGACCGTGTTGTACCTATCTTGCCTCCTTTACATCCATATATCTACGCATACACGCTCGTCTGTTGAGAGTACTCCTAATGTGGTCTATTTTCAAAATATCGCCAATTTGGTCGATAAACCTTCGTATACGGCATCTCTTCTCGACTCTGCCATTCACGTCTGCAATATAAATTTGCTTTGTCACTCTTTCCTTGTTCATTCTTTCTACATGTCACCGAAAAATTCCTTTCTTAATCCTGGTTACAACAACATCTTGCACACCACATTTTTCTCATATCACGCAATTTCTCACAATGTCACTAAGATTCAGCCCTAACATACTACTTAAACACCGCATTTCTACAGTATTTATTCTACTTTCGTGCTTCTTCTGCCATACAACTTTCACTACCATACATTAAAGTCCTACCATCTAGTAAAAACATATATTTAATATCTCTCAAAATTTGTATAAGATGTGATCGTTTACATGTTTATAGTATTACCTGAATGTTATCCGATCCTCCTTCATAAAGACAGGGGATGCTTTTAGCGGAAATGTCGTCATAAATTCTCAAATAGTATCGTTCGTCCAGTTGTTTTAGCCCGAGTCATATGTTGACTGTATATTTGATATAGTTTTTGATCTTTCAGCCCCTTTTGTGTTATTATTTCACCAATAAATACCAAAACGACATAACAGACTTGTAGAAATAAAAGATCTCTTAAATTGAATAAACAGGACACTTTAATATTTAGGATATTAAAAAGTTTTTTGTTGTGCTAAAATTTAAAATGCATTTAGTTAGATACAAAAGTTTTAATAAAATTAAGTATCTTATTTAGTTCATTACATCAGAAGTATTTCTTATTCTACTGCACAACCATTGCAAGAATGCACCGATTCGAAAGTATTACCTGGAAGTAACTAGTCTCAGTCTCAGTTTAAAAAGTTCAATTTCTTTTTTCGGAATTCAAATTTTGAATTCGTTTATCATGCAAGAAAGTTCAACCAATTTGCCGCCAAGTTATTGTATTGACCATTCCATTTCCTTTTTTTCAATTTCCATTTCATTTCCCAAAAAAGAAGGTTCTGATTTCGACTCTGTGTTCTTCTTTTCCACGACAACTTCACCAATGAGGGCTAATAATCTTCCGTTCTCCAGATGCCGCTAGTTGACACTGAGGTGAAGTTTTTGGTTACACGATGTCATTTAATTGAGAAGTCACTTTAAATAAAAGTTCATCAATTTCTAGAATATTATATAAATACACAAAACAATGACTCAGGTTGCTCTTTAATTTTTTGCACATATTAAACTTTGAAAAAAAAAAATTACCTTTATGAATATCTACAGTCTGGATTATTTATTTTTTAATCTAATTAATATAAAATAAAACTAATCGTACACTAACGAAATATTAACTTTTATATTTTCGAACAAATTAACTTCCCCGCTATGAAATGTGTGAAATATTACACCTCATTGTTAAGTAGCGCCGCCCTGGTGGCACAAAACGTCGTAGATAGTTACTGTGAAGTGACTTTTACAATTATTTTTTTAAAAGCTTATACTGTATGGATGGTCCAATGCATATCTAAAGAAAAGATTTCACCCCTAACGGTGGTTAAATTAGGGATAAAATATTTAGTTCACTCAAAGGAGAAAAAGAATTAACTTTATAAAAATGTAAAAGCTGACTGCAAAGAACTAAAAAAATATATAACGCTTTTTTATTATTGTAGTGGTTACACTGTATGATATAACAAATTTATATGCTAGTTATAACATATTAATTTGTTCTATGAAGCGGCCAGTCTGTGATTTTGTGTAGCGCATTATTGAAAAAAGATGTAATATTTTTTTAAGCAAATAAGTAGTCAAAATATTACCTATTTCAATTACTTATTTACTTACTTAGCGCATAATACGCAAACAACACCGATTCCACTCTCACAGGAACCAAAGAAAAAATTAATTACTATTTTATGTCCTGATTTACCACTTCACCTGCACCGAGGGAAAACATCATGAGAAAACTACATGTCTAAAGAATAAACATATTTTAAAGACAGTCCAGTAGCTTGAAAAGGTCAGCAGACAGATATCTGACAAAGACTTGGAGCCCTGTTTCCGCTCGTTTGCTTCTTCTATACGGGATGTATAGAAGATGCCTGAGTCCTGCAGGATGTATTTTGAGCCTGTCTGTATATTCAGTTGCCTATATGTTGTCAAATGTGCTGAAGACTGCAGCTTAATATCTCGTCTAACAGTAACGAGATGTCTAACAGTCATGTGATCGGAGGGTTTTTATTTAACCTATTTCCTACCGCATAGACAGTTTCCGCGAGCTTATAATTCATATCGCCTAGTGCGTTGCAGTCTTCTAGGCAATGAAAACGGTTTTGTATCTAGAGCTGAAAGTTATTAGGACACGGGGGACGAAGCGTTGACTTCATTAGACGTGACCTCTCCAACGTGACGTTTAGGTTCAGTGTGTCTCTCACCTTTCGGTGATCGCTGCCAGTTTACATCCTCGCGGTCACTGAGAGATATCTTTATTATGATGACTAGACGGCAACTGTTCAGTGATAATTAAACAGTTGTTGTCTAGTCTCCGGGGACTGTAGGCCGTCTGTTTTTAACTCTTGCCATGAGAGGTATATTGCCATAATTGCCAAGCTTGTTAAGCGGATTGACAACCGCATTTTTTGATGTATTATAGGAGTCCTAAGAAGGATAATTATACACTTGATTACTTGTTGTCTGCATTATTAGTTCACAACTCGAACAGCCAATCAATAATTATTGCAATCGTTTAAATAATATTACACAATGGTGGCAGCATATCCCTACTACCTATCAAAACTGAACCTAGCAGTTTGAATGTGTAAGAATTATACAATCCAAATACTTTTATAATATGGAAATAAGTAAAACGTTGTTATAAATATTAGTGATAAGTGAATTAATTACAAATGTTTATACAATGAAAATACTTACAGAATACTCTTTGTAAATACCTCATTCTAAATTAAAAATGAACTGAAAAAAATATCTATGATAATTATTATGACAATACAATGACTAATAATCTATTTTATACTTGATAATTAAAAAAGAATGTAAAAGCAAAACGATAATTATACAAATATTACTTATAACGATTCATAATACAAATTATGTAAAAATCCTGATTCAAGCCGTGCCCCATGGCAATTTTAAAAGTGCGTTCAGTAATTTAGCAGCATTTAATGTTGAAGGTCTCATAACAAAGCTTGAAAGAGATCCTTTGCTGAGCCATGTAGTAGCCCCTGAAGCTAGTCTACCATCTTGTGGTATCAATTGTAGTCGCTCTTTATATATTGGAAAAAATGTGTCCAAAAATTAACTGTTCCATAAGCAATCTTTGTCCGTAAGAAGTGGTAAAATTAAAAATATTGTACAACCAACTTCAATATGAATAAAATGAGAACATCATCAAATTATTCAAAGTTAATTAAATACGCATTATTAAGATAACTCAAAAACTAACGGTCAGATCTTAGGACTACACGAGAAGCACCAGCTTTCAATAAAAGAAATAATCATCAAAATTGGTTAAACTAGAAAATTGTATTGAGGTAAGACACAAGAAAAAGAACATACATTCGAATTTTGTGTACCTCCTCCATTTTGAAGTCGATTGAAAGCATTAAATTAATCTTTTCTACAGAAAAATGCACACACCCAGGTAAACAGCGCTTAGTTTATTGCACAGAGCTCATATTATTGCACATAGCTCTGTTATATATCTTCTCATTAATCATATATATATATATATATATATATATATATATATATATATATATATATATATATAATAAGTGTTTTGAGTATTGTTGTGTGTGTATGTAGTTTTTATAAGGTGAAAGTATATTGTAAGAAGTGCATATAGCTGCAAATGGCTCTGTTATACAGCTACTTCAATTTATGCACGCAGTTATAATAAATTATGACGTTGTAATTAACATATTCTTTGCATATACGAAGGTTATCGCTGCACATACTCAGATAAATTAAGTAAAATAAAAAATTGATTAATAGCTGATTAGAGTAATGTGTGTGTATGTAATTGTTATAAGGTGAAAGTATATTGTAAGAAGTGCACATAGCTCTCAAGATATCAAGATATCAAGTAACAAAGAAAAAAGTAAGGAAAAACACATACACTCAAATTGAGATCCTCTTCTTTTTGATTAGTTTAAAAACGGAATGTATGTCGGTTGAAATCGCTTATAAATGACATGTTTTTCTTCGTTTTGAGTTTGACATGGCTCTGTCAAATAAAAAAACCGCTAGTTTTGTAACATGTTACTCGTTATTTTGATTTCTAGCATGGTCCCTTAAACTAATTGTAACCACTTGTTTTATACCCGTCTACTTCACGTAATTTATAATATTTCAAGTTTCCTTGTGGAGCTAAATACATAATAGACTTTGATCGATACTCCAACCGACAAGGCTCAATTACCACTGAAAGGCCTCAATTCCATGCTCTAAATTGCTTGACTATTAGTGCAAGCAATTATTTTGCTTCACCGCTATATACCGCACTATAAAAATAGTCTTCGAGTAATTTACTTCATGTTTCGGTATTATCTAGTTTAAAAAAATAAAAATAAACACCCTAACGAAATATTACGTCACTAAATATACAAATGAAAAATTTCAACTATTGTATTCATACAAATCGTATTTTCAATAAAAGTTTTACACTTTTACAAAATTATTCGTTGTCCCAATTTATTTTATTACGATCAAAGTTGTAAAATTAAGGCAAAATCTTTAGTATAAGTCGAAGCAGATTTCAAGTACTTATTGAATTTCACGGCGACGAAAAGCCTTAGAACCTTTCCTGAAAGTGATTTTGCGCCGGCTTGGCTGCTTAGAAAATAATTTTGTAGCACAGTAATTATGATATTTTTTCAACAGCGTCACCAGTCCAAAAATTATAAATTTTATTTTAGTACTCAAATTTTGTTAGCAATAAGTTTTTTGTCATAAATTGAAGTGACAAACAAACTTACACCTTATCTGATTGTAGTTGGCTACTGAAGCCCATGAACATGCGCAATCAACTTCAAACAAAGAAGGCTACCTCCGAGGACTATGATAGAATGCCTTAAATCCTGCCATTATAATTTCTCTATGCCTTTCAGACTGAGGCAAAGCAGTCAAGCACTGCTATCTGTTGGCAAAACTGGGTAAAAGAGTGGTAAGTAGAGGTCAAATTATTGTTCATACTGTTATAATGTTACCCCGTAGTAACGCTAATTTGAAATGTGCTTAGGTTATGAATTCACAAGACCCTGTAGTGGAGGTATAAGATAATCCACTACCTCATATCATACTTTGAGTGGGAGTTGACAGAAGGAAATTAAGCAGGAGGTGGACAATAGCACGACCCATATTTACCAGTGTAGTATCAACGTTGATGACAAAACTAAAATATTTTTGACTACTATGATATCCTGGTTCATAGTAGCCAGCCACTTTCAAAATTTTTGCTGTTATTCTATCCTTG